AATAAAAAAATAATTGAACTTATGTTTCATTAATTATTTATTTTTCTATCAGTTTATTTCTAATTCAAAAAGATTTGATGTTGAACAAATTATATTTAATAGAAACATACCGAAGATAGAAAAAAATATACAAAAATTACAAATCAGCTATAAAAATTAGAATTGTATTAGGTGCACAACTTTGCTTCAGCCGTTTTTTTTTCTGAAATTCGAGGCTTTATTGAAAAAAACTGGTTATACATTTATGATTAAAAGTATTGTCCATCGCTGGCCACTATTTTCTCCCATCTTTCGGGCAGCGTACGAATCCCGCGTCGAAAAAACTGATCACCTTTTGAGGCGATCCACGAATCGATACAATTTTTTACTTCTTCATAAGACCGGAAGTGCTGGTCAGCCAGGCCGTGTGCCATTGATCGAAACAAGTGATAGTCAGAGAAAGCAACGTCTGGAGAATACGGCGGGTGGGGTAGGACTTCCTATTTCAACGTTTCCAAGTTTGTCTTGACCACTTTCGCAACATGGGGTCGAGCAGGGTGGCACCCAGTTGGACACGGCTCAATTGGACACGAGCCACTCACAGCGCTTGATACTACAAAGCTCCTAAGCACCGGTCGTTGGGATTGGTGGAGATAAATATTTATCTGCAATAAATAGATATCTGCAATAAATCAGCCTAATTTAAAAAATTTAAAAAAGGGAACAGAAAACTGCTACGTCCACGTCGTTGTTCCTGGGTTACGCTAAAAGTAGTTTTTTGAGAAGTAATTAATGAGTAATTAAAAATAATGAGAAGTTTTAAGACTAATTTCGAGTATTAACAATGAAAACGTGGTATTTTTATTGTTAATGTATTGCAGAATTGTAAGCATGGGTTCTCAGTAAGAGAAGGGTGGCACCCAGTTGGACATGAGCCACTCACAGCGCTTGAAACTACAAAGCTCCTAAGCACCGGTCGCTGTGACTGGTGGTGTCCAATCGAGCCGTGGTCAATCGGGATCACCCCGTAAGAGAAATCGAAGAAATTGAATTTCGTCGATTACAGCGTCATCTATCATGAATCGAAAAAAATGTTTCAGACAAATCGTATGTGCTTTTAGCCAAAGATTCCGAATATGTAATAAAAAATAGGGGTTCCCATTTAAGATTTCAAACTTGTCCCCCCTCACCGCCCGGGGGCGAGGTTTTAACATCAGTGTATGTCACCCTCGGAATGATGAAATATTGATTCTTAACATTTTTTCTTAGTGTGCTTATTTTTCGAGATATTTGAAAGTTTCAGGTTAAAAAAATCACCCTGTACATGAGTTTAACCAACATCTCAGAGTTTAACCAATATCTCAGAGTTTTCTAAATAAATCTTCGCATTCAGGCGAATTAGATTTGAATTAGTTCAAACCAAAGCTTCTTTCGGCAATTGAAAACAAAATACTATTTTACTGAATGAAAATATATATATTAATCGATTTCAGCACTGATAAATAAATCGATTATTTTGAGATTTTTCTCATAAAAAAGAAGATATCTTTATTGAAAATTGTCCAAAAAACACGGTATTTTCGTCATTTGCATCGTTGCATACAAGATTTATTGTTGGACATGATTTAAGTCTAATACATTTTGAATATACTTAGATAATTTATCGCTTTGTAAGTTTTTATGAAGCTTACAATCATTTATTAAATTCACTAAACTTGAGATTGATTTTCTTTCTTCTGATTTAGGATATTGTTTTATGACAAATGGAATTTCGGAAAACGTAATTGTGATAAAGCCGCAGTACAGACTCTTGCATAATGCATAATGCATAGTGCATAAGGGAATCAACCAATCGAAATTCTTCTTTTCCATGGAATGAAAGGGAAGGAAAGCTTCTAATTAGTTGATTCGCTTACGCACTATGCGTTAAGGCCCGTCTACAATACACGGAGTAAGAAGTAAGAGTAAGAAATTGACCAATCACAGTCGATTATTCTTCTCACATTCGACTGTGATTGGTCAATTTCTTACTCTTACTTCTTACTCCGTGTATTGTAGACGAGCCTTTATGCGTTATGCAAAAGTCTGTGCTGCGGCCATAAGAGCCCAGACACAAGCTTTTGCATAACGCATAGTGCATAAGCGAATCAACTAATCAGAATCTTTCCCTTCCTCACATTCCATGAAAAACTAGAACTGTGATTGGTTGATTCCTTTATGCACTGTGCATTATGCAAGAGTGTGTGCTGCGGCCTATACTTCTGCGCTAACCGCTGCATAAACGAATGCACGCCATATCAGCTGGTGCCTAGTAATTTTTCACTGCTTTACCAATGAGAATATTTTATTTTTAAATTGGCCAATTAGCGACACATATGTGCAATATGCATTGTGTGCCTTCCCTACACGACACGCTAAATTAAATGATTCTGATTGGTCGTATTACTTTCCCTAGAGGCTTAGATAACAGAGATGCGACATTGAAGGGTATAGTCTGATTGGCTGTCTAAATTACGTGATCAGAGCGCCATTTTAATTCATTACTGCGTATAATCAGAATCCTAGGACTCTACGGCCCGTATTCAGAACACGCTTACAACGATGTTAGCACGCTAACATACTATACTTTACGTCACGTATATTATAGAATTTCAGAGATAAAAGTGCGCTTTTATCGATAAAAGCACGTTCTGAATACTGGCCTACGTATAGAGTCTAATGGCGCAGTTCCATGGTGCAGAATTAGCGCAATGTGGAATTGGCGGAACGTTCGTAATTGGTCATGGCTTTATTCCGCCGATTCCATTCCACTAAATTGTGTTTTCCTATGTTCCATTGAACTAAATTTGCGGAATACGCAATTAGCTCTGACCAATCGCAAGAGTCTTCCCGTAGACTCCACTTTCATTAGATCTACCAGAATAGCGTTTGTCATTGGCTCGCATTGATTGCGCATCCGCAAATTTCGCTCAATGGGACATAGGAAAATAAATTTCTGCAGATCGGAAATCACACATACATATGACAGGAACATTGCCGACTTCGTTTTGTGTGGGTGGCATCCAGTTGGACACGAGCCACTCACAGCGCTTGAGACTACAAAGCTCCTAAGCACCGGTCGCTGTGATTGGTGGTGTCCAATCGAGCCTTGATCAATCGGGATCACCCCGTTTTGTGTACCCATTTTAATTTTAATTTACATTTTCGCCTTTCTGTATACTATTTATACGACATTCGTATTCTACCCATATTGAGCTCTGTATTTATCTGGAGACTTAATTAATTACCTTCAGGGTTATATTCAGATTATCACTCGAGTGCCACCCAGGTATCACTCCAATCTTGTTATTTATCGAACGTTAAATAAGGATGACATGACACCCGGAGAACACCCAGGTGGGAATCCGACACGTCTCAGCATGTTGATTAGCATGCGTTTGTATAGAAGATACTTTTCTCCGTTTAAATCGGATTGACGAGGTAATTTTTTATAAATATATGTTGTACATGCACACGCACACATGCATGCATCGGCGGAATCCGCAAAAGAAATAAATTTGCGCAACAGAAAACGACGGAATCGACGGAATAAAGCCACGACCAATCACGAATTCCGCCAATTCTGCATTTCGCCAATTCCGTACCATGGGACCGAGCCATAATAATGTATGTCCGTATAATGTATATACTATTAAGTACATGCTATAAGTATGTACTACACTTTCTTCTTTTTCTGACAATTTAACTTTTCTCATGTAATGCATAAGTTGTCATCAGCTTATAAAGGTGCCTTTTCATGCCAACGCTCGACGCTTATTTTCGGCGTAAAAAGAAGTCACGTGATAGAAATTGGTGAATATCAAGTGATATCAAGGGTCAATTTCAATCTTTGTGATTTATTTGAAAACAGCTGAAGACAGCTAAAAACGAACGTGGAACGTCAGTATGAAAAGGCACCTTATGGTTATAAGTACTTATAATGAATTAAAATGGCGATGACGACCTAACCCAACCGGGGTGATCCCGATTGACCACGTCTCGATTGGACACCACCAATCACAGCGACCGGTGCTTAGGAGCTTTGTAGTCTCAAGCGCTGTGAGTGGCTCGTGTCCAATTGAGCCGTGTCCAACTGGGTGCCACCCACCCAACCGACGCAATGTCGCATCTCTGGTATCTAGGCCTCTATAGTGACGTCAATGATCCGACCCGGATCAAGTTAAACCTTTTACTGGATTTACACTGCATCCGATTTGCGTCGTACGATGCTCTGCAACCAATCAGAAAACA